GGGCGCAACGAGTGGACTGACGCATGAGGGCCCTGGGGCCACCGAGTGGCTGGGGCTGAGGTGGCTGAGAGGCGCGAGAGTGGCTGAGGGGCGAGAGGTGGCTGAAAGAGGGACGAGGTGGTAGAGGAAGTTGGCTGAGTAGGGCGCTAAGAGTGGCTGAGAGGGCGAGAGCTGGTCTGAGAGGCGAGACTGTAGAGGGCTGAGAGCGTGCGAGAGCGGCGAGGGAGAGAGGGCTGAGAGGGCGGCGAGGAGTTGGCCTGAGAGGGCGAGATGACTGAGAGGGTCGGAGGGCTGAGAGTAACTCGAGAGCTGAAGGTAGGCTCGGAGAGAGAGCGGAGAGGGCTGATGAGTCAGAGGCTGTAGAGGTGCCGAGAGTGGCTGAGAGGCGCGAGAGTGGCTGAGAGGGCGAGAGTGGCGAAGGGCGAGATGGCTGGATGGGCGAGCGAGGCTTGGGGTGCTGAGAGGGCGAGAGTGCTGGCGGGCTGAGAAGGCGAGAGTGGCCTGAGAGAGCGAGAGGTGGCTTGAGAGCGCGCATAGTGGCCTGAGCGCCGCCGAGTGGCTGGCGCGCGAGTAGCGGGCGGCGGAGTGGTGAGCGCGCGAAGTGGCGGGGGCTGCCGAGTGAGTGAGAGCGCACTTGACTGCCGTGGACGTGAGCGCTACCGCGTGGAGTGTATATATGGCGATTCCAACGACCTCCCCGTCCCTTCAAATTTTTTGTTATATACAAATTTCATTCTATATAATCAAGCTCTGTAATAGCAAATAATAATACTCTTCGTATAACGATATTACCAAACTTCCTCGAAATACTATTCCTCCAGACAATAACATATACATATACCTAGAAAATTTCCTAACATCTTTATCGTATAATTGCACAGCAAAATGAATGCTACTATTACCTTTTATTTCTGCTGGAATACATCAATCTGGAAACTTGTATATTTTACAAATAAATTTTCGAAATTGATGACTTTTTCTTTTAGCCGCATTTGTTTCTTCTTGCTTGTTCCCTGTACACTTTTCCCCCGCTACCAAATTCAAGGTCAGAGCATTGTCTCCGTCTGGAGCATGTCACGCTGGTTGGGAATACCCGCCAAGCCAGGACAAGGTAGATGGTGCATGGATATTGCCATCCCCATATCTCGCCCAATTAAAAAAATTACACTGCACTTGCCCGAGACTATACTCCGATATAAACATTTATGCACTTCGAGCACGAGCTGGCCATTGCGATAATGCTTTCACTCCAATTTTGCGAAATAAAGGAAAGTTAGCAAAGGAACACTCCCAGGCATTGTTTTGGGGATCCGCCCCTGCACTAAAATGTATTTGTGGTGTGCGCAGCAGGGCGGGCTGGTGGCGCACTGGCTGGCGAGGTTTGCCTGGCCGCTGCACATGGACGGCGCGGCGGGGCGAGCCCGTGGCGTGGCAGGCAGCGCTGGCGGGGACGGGCCGCGATGTGCCGCCATTGCTTATGTGTGCGCCTGGACGAACCTGGCGCCCGTCCTGGCGGCTGGCGGCTGCTGGCGGCGGGCCCCGCCCCTCGCCGCCGCCCGTAGGCCGCGGCGTGCAAGTTGGCGCCAGCGCCGCCACGCCCACCAAACGCCGCACTCCACCGCGCCCCGACCGCAGGCGGCAGCCTCACCCGGCGAACACCCGGGACTCTTATTTCTCCGGTGCTTGCCCCGAGGACCCTCCAAGGGTCGAGGACCGTCGCTCTCGGCCAAACGCTTCAGGACCAGACACATCCAGCGTCGAGAGTCTCATCGTACGTGCGCCAGATCAATAGCACAACATGTAGTTCACTCGGTGCAGGTACATCAAAGTATAACAAACTCAGCACAACTCACGAAGCTAGGAACAGGCCCGTGTCGTCGCCACAGCGCACCATGATGCCTACATCACGCCATCTCTGCGCCGTGTGGACGCGGCGTTGACCGATACTAGGGGGTCGAGGACCCGTTTGGCCTCTGCAGCGACGTCACCGAACCTACCTAGGGTCGAGGGGACCGTAGGCCTCTGCCGCGGACCCGCGTTTGACCCAAACGACCACCTAGGGGTCGAGGGCCGTGGGCCTCTCAAGGGCAGTGACCGAGACTCTAGGGATCGAGAGACCTCGTGGCGCCTCTCAGCGGCGTTGAGCCGAGACCCACCTAGGTGTTCGAGGGCCGTGGCCTCTGCAGCGGCGTTGACCCGAGACCACCTAGGGTCGAGGCGCCGGTGGCTTCTGCAGCCGGCGTTGACCGAACGAACCTCAGGGGTCGAGACCGTGGCCTTTCGCCCAGGCGGCGTTGACCGAGACCACTAGGTCGAGGGCCGTGGCCCTTCTGCAGCGGCGTGTGACCGAGACCTCCTAAGGTTCAGAGGACCGCTGGCCTCTGCAGCGGCGTTGACCATACCTAGTGGGAGTCGAGGACCGTGGCTCTGTAGCGGCGTCGATCAGACCACTCCTTAGGGGTCGAGGTACCGGTGCGCCTCTGCAGCGGCGTTGACCGAGACCACCTAGAGGTCGAGGGCCTTGGCCTTGCAGCGGCCCGTTGACCGAGACCTCCTAGGGGTCGAGGACCGCTGGCCTCTCAGCGGCGTGATCGAGACCGACCTAGTCAGACGGGCCGTGGCCTCTGGCAAGCCTCCGGCGCGTGTTGAACCGAGGACCTCCGCTAGGGCGAGGCCGTGGCCTCTCTGCAGCGGCGTTCCGTACGTTGACCGATACCCTAGTGGAGGTCGAGGGACCGTGGGCTTCTGCAGGCGGCTGGTTGACGGAACCTCTAGGCGGTCAAAGACGTCGCCCTCTGCCAGCGGCGTTGACGATACCTAGTGGGAGTCGAGGACCGTGGCCTCTGTAAGCGGATCGCCCTCGCCCCCGGCCTCGGCCCCGCCCTCCAGGCGGAAGCGGTGCGCGAAGGCACGCGTCGCCGCATCCTGCGCGCGGGAATAGAAAGACAAAATAGCTATTAACATACCTAATGTGGCGTCATATCAATCGCCTTGTACAAACGTGACAAAATATTAGCCACGTGCATTTCATGCTCGTGAAGAATGTGGGTGGCCACTTGTGAACCCCATAGACCACTTGGGGCAAACTTGTGAACCCCGTAGACATGTTGAATGTGGAAACGCGTCGGCGGAAACAGCGAGAAGACGCAGTTCCGTCAGCCAGCCCAGAAGGTAATATAAACGGACCCCGGACCTAAACTCCTTCTTCTGATTCTTGGGCGCCTCGGTAGGAAGTCGTGTGGGTTGTGCGAGGCGCGGCATTTCAATGCATAGGCTACTGAGGCAGGGAACTGAAGTCGGTGTGCTACGTCGAGGCGGGAGGTGCGGCATACTCGCTTGTATGCTCACGTAGGTAACTGGTGCATCACACCAAATAAGATATCTAATTATCAGGCCAGCGGTAGTGGTGACCACGAACATTCCTTCTAGTAATGGGTCAATATTGTTTATTTTAATTATTGTATGTATTCAGGTGTTGGAGCATATTTCAAATAAATACTCAATAAATTACAAACCGTTCACGTCTGTGATTTATTGCCCCGGCAAAAAAGCCACAATTGAAATGTTATGAGTGTTATTACTGCTGATACCAAAAGTTAAAAATCGAGGCGGAGCGTAGTGGAGCTGAGGAGCGGAGCCGTTTTTAATTTGGACGAGGCAGTAAAAACACTCATAACATTTCGTGATATGTTCAGCGTTTTATCGGTCACCATAAAATCTCAATTTTTTTGAGACAATTTACGACATTACTGCGATATGAAACACATAAATTCTGTTGTTGCGGCACGATAATCCATATTGTTGGATATTGCTGGCCATGTATCTATTTTAACAACACACTTGTATATCGTGACTCGAATAATATGGACGCTGAAAATTCGTCTGTACCTCAAGAAATGTTGGATGCAGCTGCGGAAATATAACATTGTAGTTAATAATGAACACAAATTTGATGATCTTGTTACAAAATTTGATGTTTATGTAATAAGACTCTTATCAATTACAATTATAAGAAGAAAGTTAGTGATAAAATGTTTGATAAACTAGAAGTGTTGAAGAGAAACGTGTTCAAATGTAAGCCACAACCACGTTTCGAGAAATAAATTGCGAAACTGGATCACTATTGGTTGTATTTTGTATTTTCAAAAGTATTTTAAAATACTATTTTGTATTTGGTGTTAGTACTTTCGACGAAGTATTTTGTATCTAAAATACTCTTTCGAAGTATTTTGCCCAACTTTGCGACAGGATGTGGAAGATCTATCTAGTTTTTAAAACTGGCGCTAAAAATCGCCTACTTTCTGGGCGATTTCCACAGCCATTGCCCAAAAATATGGCAGTAGTAAACCTTGCCATACGCCTACATTATAGAAACTGTCCTAAACTTCGTTCAGATAAGCATTAAAAGTAACAGAAGGTGTTTTGTTTTTGTTGTTGCAGGCTTCGGAAGTTATACGTCTTTTAAAAGCCAGATTTTTACTTAAACTATCTGCTGTATTTTCGTTATTTTGTTGTTGTTTTTCCAAAAATGTTTAAATACGTATTTCATAGACTACCGAGACCAATGGGCAAGAGAAGTGTTTCATCCGCAACAATAACCTCACAAGCATTCAACCACAGGGAGAATGTATGCAAGATAATTGAGAACATGTTTATCTTGAAGACCTCGAGTTGATGTATTGCGATCTAGGCATTGATGGCGTCTGTCCTTGGATCAGGTACAAGCCATAGATATATTAGAAAGAAACGGGTTTACGTAACCCCTCAAGAGTTGCTTATCGCTTATCATTTGCCAGAAATGATGTTTGATATTTTGGTGTAATCGTTGCGATCGTAATGTACTCGTTGAGAAGGCCGGCAGACATTTTCGCAATAAGTATCATTCTTCTTCGTCGCTTTCCTTCCTAAGAACACAAATTAAACGGAACAGCCTTGGTGTAGCGAAGGCCACCTTTCCCAAAAGCAACAGTTGCGACGGCTGCTTTAGTAAATCTTGTCCTTTTAATTAAAAATCATATGTCAGAAAATCTATTTTTAAACTCAAATTACTATCAAGAAACGAACATATTGTATTCCTCTTTTAATGATCAATCCATTGCTGGCGTGAAAAATATATAGTTCCATTAAGAAAACGAAGATGATTAAATTTCTCGAAAACTAAAAATATTACAAACATCTCTACGGTACATTACTTGCTCAATGATTCCGCATTGTTGAGCGAAAATTGCACTTCGGTATCATACACTGTTTGGAAGTTATGGGGGGCGCATAGTTGGTGGGACACTTTATCTATGGCGCAGGCCTAATTTTCGTTGAACACTCTAAATTTTGCTTCCGTGGTGGGAGCAGATACCTTGTGGTAATCCATAATGTGAGATAGGAAATACTCGTCTACAACAATCACAGTTATAATACTTATTTATTTGTTATAAATTTTCCTAAAGTTAACTTTGGGAATGTTATAATAAATAAATCTTATTACTGTGTTTGCTGTGGATGATTATTTTCTTGCTCACACTAAGTTGCTGCGTTAATTACTGCAAAGAGGATGTTGTGTTAGCTCCATTAACGTAAATTGAATTGAATTGATGCCTTATTTTATGTGGCGAGACACGGGCCATCAGGCCCGCTCTTCTGTCTGACACACAAATTTCGCTACGCTCCTTTCAGCAACTAGTGGAGAAAGGAGATATTTCTTGGGCAACGAAACAGGAGATTTGAATTTAGCTCAGAGGCTTCATTTGGGCTTGAGGATCCGTTACATGCCGTAAATCTACTAACATGGGACAGCCGGTTTTACTTCCCCTGCGAAGAAGGCGTGCGAACGATTTTGCCGCCCTTAAAATCCACGACTTCCATAGGGTTTGACAGTCCGAAGTTGGGCATAACAGGCCGATACGCTAACTGTGCGTGAGCGGCGGCCTTCGCTTAGCCCCATTCGTTTAACAGCACAAACTTCAGGAGGTGCCCGCTGCCTTACCGTCATGTCGAAGAACTCGTCGAGCGGGAAGTGGCTGGAGTAGCCCCAGTAGACGCCCGCGGCCACCAGCTGCTCCAGCGTGTCCAGGCGACGCAGGCGCGGCGAGGTGAGGTGCGCCGCGAGCGAGCTGCAGTAGGCCGTCACCGCGAGCACGCCGAACAGCGACCAGCACAGCAGCAGGCGGCGCTCGGCCGGCCGCTGGCGCCGGCCGTCGGACGCGGGCGCCGACGTCTGCAGGAGCATCCCCAGCACGTGCAGCACGGCGCGGCCCCCGTCGGCCCCTGCGCAGTGGCGATCCACGGCCCCTCACCAGCGCCGCCTTGAAATGTCTCTTGGCTTTTATTTGAAGGCGTGTTGAAAGGTAACTGTGGATTTTCAAGGAGCGGAAACTAACCGTTTGTTTTTTAAATACTTCTTTGTTTAAACGCTTCTTTGTTTACACGCTTCTTTGTTTTAACCTTTTTGTTTAAACTCTTCTTAGTTCAAAAACTTGGTGGGGAAGTGGGTGGGGGAAGTGGGTGGGGGACAGTGGGTGGGACAGTGGGTGGGGACAGTGCAGTGGGGAAGTGGGTCGGGAAAGTGGATGGGGAATGGTGGGGAAAGTGGGTGGGAAGAGTGGGAAAGTGGGTGAGGGAGCGGTGGGTGGAAGGCCACTGGGCTCCGAGCGAGGCGCAGCGCAGGCGGCCGGCGGGCAGCGAGGGCGGCGCGAGGGCGCCCACGCGGCCGCTGCAGCGGCCGCAGCAGGCTGTCGGGCGGGCGGCGCGCGCGGGCCGGCGCCAGGAAGGTGGAGCACGCCAGCCCCCAGGGCGCGG